TCACTGAAAAATGAAAATAGGATGAAGTGCAAATAAGAATAGTCCTACAAATATTATACAGAACTATCATCTTAATTCTTCAAGGTGAAAGCAAAGCATTGCACATGACTTTTTCTTATAAAACATCTTAGAGAACATCAAAATTGGGGCAACAATTAATCAGTTTGTTCTTTTTTTTCTCCTCTTTTTGTATGTGTGTTTCTGTGCACATTTCAGTACATAATTTTGCACAAGTGTATTTGTGTTTTTTTTTTTTTTTCTTTTTTTTCTTTTTTTTTTCATTTTGTGTGTCCACATGTGTGTGTCCTTGTGTGTGTCCACGTGTCTGCATGCTTGTGCATGGGCGTGTGCATGGGCGTGTGCGTGTGCGTGTGCGTGTGCGCGTGCGTGTGCGCATATATGTGTATATGAGCATTCGTTTTTATATCTGCATGTTCTTGTCCTCATCCACATGTATATGCAAGAATGTGTGTACACATGGATGTGCAAGTGTGCGTGTGTACAGCCTCCCAAATAACTGTTGTCAATAAATTATACAAAAAAAATGAGATAAATGAATGCAAAATTATGGCACATTGAGAAGAGACGAGATAAGACAAAGAAAAATAAGTGTTCATGCCTTTTGCTTGAGTTGTCTTGTGTGTATTTAATTATCATTCATAATAATACATTTGCTTTGTCATTTTTGTAGCATTCACTGATAAACATATGAGTGAAATATATAGGTATGCATGACATACAACTAATGGTGGTATCACAAATTAGGTGAGCCACAGTGGAGTTGTTTTCATTGTCTGGATAATTTTGTGATACTGTCAAATTATATTACTATTTAGGTTTTTTATGTAGATGAGAAAGAAAACTCATAAGTGCATAATACTAAACAGTGAAATACTAAATTTAACATAATTTGACATCCAGGATATAAACCTTTACCTACTTCTGTTTGACAACCCATGACATTCATCATTACCACGAATACCAACCCTGCAATAACAATGCACCTGTACATTATATGTCTGAATTCCCAATCACTTAGGAATCCAGCAGAGAGTTAGTTGGGGGACTGCACATGTATATATATTTGTTTCTATTTGCAAGTGTGTATGCCATTGTCAAAATGTACACGCACCTGCATGTATATGCATGAGCATGTGCATATATGCATACTTGTGTACTTTTTTTTGTCTGTTTTGTCTAGTGATGCATATATACATTGCTTTGTCATTTTTGTAGCATTCACTGATAAACATATGAGTGAAATATATAGGTATGCATGACATACAACTAATGGTGGTATCACAAATTAGGTGAGCCACAGTGGAGTTGTTTTCATTGTCTGGATAATTTTGTGATACTGTCAAATTATATTACTATTTAGGTTTTTTATGTAGATGAGAAAGAAAACTCATAAGTGCATAATACTAAACAGTGAAATACTAAATTTAAAATAATTTGACATCCAGGATATAAACCTTTACCTACTTCTGTTTGACAACCCATGACATTCATCATTACCACGAATACCAACCCTGCAATAACAATGCACCTGTACATTATATGTCTGAATTCCCAATCACTTAGGAATCCAGCAGAGAGTTAGTTGGGGGACTGCACATGTATATATATTTGTTTCTATTTGCAAGTGTGTATGCCATTGTCAAAATGTACACGCACCTGCATGTATATGCATGAGCATGTGCATATATGCATACTTGTGTACTTTTTTTTGTCTGTTTTGTCTAGTGATGCATATATACATTGCTTTGTCATTTTTGTAGCATTCACTGATAAACATATGAGTGAAATATATAGGTATGCATGACATACAACTAATGGTGGTATCACAAATTAGGTGAGCCACAGTGGAGTTGTTTTCATTGTCTGGATAATTTTGTGATACTGTCAAATTATATTACTATTTAGGTTTTTTATGTAGATGAGAAAGAAAACTCATAAGTGCATAATACTAAACAGTGAAATACTAAATTTAAAATAATTTGACATCCAGGATATAAACCTTTACCTACTTCTGTTTGACAACCCATGACATTCATCATTACCACGAATACCAACCCTGCAATAACAATGCACCTGTACATTATATGTCTGAATTCCCAATCACTTAGGAATCCAGCAGAGAGTTAGTTGGGGGACTGCACATGTATATATATTTGTTTCTATTTGCAAGTGTGTATGCCATTGTCAAAATGTACACGCACCTGCATGTATATGCATGAGCATGTGCATATATGCATACTTGTGTACTTTTTTTTGTCTGTTTTGTCTAGTGATGCATATATACATTTCCTAACAATAATAAGTAACTTTTTGGTAAATCTGACAGAAATACTTACTATACCTGACACAATAACAGGAGATTATAGGAAAAAATAACAAATAGTCATTGATTTTCACAACTTATTCTCAATCAAAAATTGTTAAATTGCTATATGCTATTATAGCAAAGCTTCTACAGTCATTCATATTAAAAACATGCAATCTTGTTATTTCATTTTTACTACAATGCTAAACAAAATTTTGTGGGAAAAGAAGGCATAGTTAAAAAATTATCAAAATATTACCACTACTAAACATTAGAAGTCAGTAGTGCAACAAACCATTGAGAGTAGTGGCAAAGTTGAGAAAAAAAAGCATTATGCTAAAAAATTAAGAAACACTTAAAGTGAAATTGAATTACTATGCACAAGCCTTTCAAGTGATAAAAAAAACTATCATGCTATTTGAAGGTAATAGTAATATGTTCACATAACACAATAGTAACACCTACCCTGAAGTCACCCGAATTTTGGGTGTTGAGCTTATTGTGCTGCATGCAAAGATTAGTGCTTACAATTAGTTTCATTGTCATGCAAGATTGACATTTAATAAAGAATAAAAATTAATAATTAGTTTTTATAACATTTCAACATCAGATATCCATGCATGTAGTTGCCCAAAAATCCAGAATACTCACACAGACATTGATGTAAAAAATAATAAATTCAATACATACACAAAAAACACACACACACATTACCAGTCCATGCAAGAAAATTAACACAAACTATAATTTAAATGCAATATTTGTTTAGCTGTCATACATAAACCTAGGTTGGATTTCCCTAGACCTGCAAAAATGATAATTAACATGACTTCATCTGCCTCCTCTTCCATAAACTATCAAGAATTACCAATAATTTGTATACATATATAGTTTACAAACACACACAATACCAAAAACTATAAATGCATATATCTATATTTTGACTTGCTTGCTAGCAAATACCTATGAGAGTGAAGCCTCCATTAGTTCATATAAAAATATAAACAGATGAATTAATACATTCCACAATCTTCCACTTCAAAAAGTTAAATGACTAAAACCCACTTTCATACAAAAAATATAATACAAGTTATAAAAGTGAATATATTCTATATCTATTAATGTGATATATATAACTACAATTACTATTATGTGTACAGACAGTGAGCTACAATGATATATCTTTAGCTCTTATAGTATCTGAAATCTGGCAAAATTCAAAATATTCTTTCATGAACTTCTTTTCCATACCATGCACTTATAAATCTTTATCTTTTTTAATGTAAAAAAAAATAATAAGATATCAATAGTTAAATAATGATGCAACATTTTACCTTCCACTTATTCAACTCAATATTTAGTTACTTTACCTCATTTGTCGGGTAAGATGATTGACCGTAATCATTGGTGATAAACCTTCAATAAATCTGTTATAATTCCTCTCCAGCTCCCTGTGGTACTCCCTCATGTCAGAGCCAATCAGTGTTTTGTTACGCTTTAATGCATCTTGACATCTGGAAGAATAAATTGCAAGAAAACCATTGACTTTGCCATTTTGGGGATTTGAAGTTCTTGTAAATAAATAAAAAAAAGAAAGAGAAAAATTTAATAAAAATTCAATTCAATTAAATCAATGATACTAAAAACTATTTTTCCTTTTGTTTTCTTGTACAAAAAGCATACCTCTCATCATACTTTATTACAAAAACAAAGATAGTATAATCATACTAATTATTATATCATAAAGAAAACTTTCCCCATGGACTAAGTGGACTATAAAACTAATGAAACATCATGTAACTATTCATACTGATGTCAAATCTCAGAAACATACTTTTTGGAGAAGTCCTTGAAACAGAGTCGAAGTTTATTTTGAAGCCTGTTAGGGGGTTTCCTGCTGTCAACCAGATCTGATAGGAAAATGTGGGCAACCTCCATTGGTCCCTGATTCACCGTTGTTCCAATGCACCCCTGTAAAAAATACAATTGAACCTCATGTACTGTTCTCATCCCAAATAAAAAGAACATTACCAATATGTAAGATTTTCTTATCTTTTACAAAACTGAAATATTACAGACTACACATCCCAGCAATTATATGCATAGAGGCTGTTTAAAGAAAGTAATAAAAACTACACAATTTCAAATAAGAATGATCATGCATAAAATCTATATAATAATAAAAAACATCACACTCCAAGTTAATATCTGAATCCACATAAGATTTGCAAATCATGTAGACCTTTGACACAATTCACTATGTTACCTGAAGCACCATCTGTAGAATCTTGTGATCTGGAGGATCTTGGTTGATGGCTGCAGATAACTCCTTTGTCTTCTTCTGTATGTCTTCAATAGCAACTTCAATTGGAGTCAACACCCACTGAAACAAGTTAATATTTGTGAATAATGTATTATACCTAAATTAAATCCACAACTATATAAAACAAAAAAAAGTTTTCTCAATCTGGAATTGATATCAATACAATAAATCTAAGCCACTAGTTTAAAAAAGATGGTACTGAATGTTTTGTGTATCATCACAATTCTTTTTTTTATAAATATTTCTGAATATTTTACATCTAAACCTCACTTGTTTGATATAGTTTAAGTTGCTTTTCAAGTTTACTTTAACAGTATTTCAGTATAATTTTCATCAAGGAAATGGAAATAATTCAAAGTCATTATTTAAACTGAAAATATATAAAAGACTAATTGTCCAACCTGAAAATATAGACATTTTTTCTATGATACTACTTCATCTAACAAAGAAAATTCTACACATTATAAATGTATGATCCTATGAGACTATTGATACTGTTGCAAGGTATCAATTCAATACTGTCATACTTATTAAGCACCATCTTGTTGGAAGCATCAACTGTGTGACAAATGAGATCTATATTGTGTCACATACTACTTAACAATATTCAGAGGCTTACTGAACTTTTATTTCAGGTTTCAAAGATCAATAGAAGATATTTTGGGGTATTTTGAGGGTGAGAAAAAACATGCTAATTTTATGGGGAAACATGATGACATTGCAAAATTAATAAAACTGTTGTTTTCCTAATTCTTAGATGCAATGTACAACTACCATGCATACCTGATCACTACAAATTTCACACAAGACCTTGAGACACCCCAGAAAATATAAACATTTCATCAAAATTTCCCATTCTTCTCTGCTGCAATATTTCATATGCATAAAATAAAGGTAACAACAACACAAACACAAATAATAATAGCCCAATTAAATAACTTACAGACATTCTGTCAACAACTTGGATCCTAGTCTTGACATATGGGAACATATGTTGTGTTGTCAGGATGGTCTTCCTCTTATATTGCTCATGAAGCTCTCCATGTGCTCTCCCATCAGGTGTGAATGGTGTTGAGAAGATGAACCGCTCTTTGAAAAGGGGAAATTTTAACAGTCAAAAGAATATGCTCTATAACTTTAACCGGTTAGTTATGCAAGTTCTATGCTCACAGTATTTGCAAAATAAGTGTACAATCATAAAGACATCATAATGACTTACTTATGTTGTAATTTTTCTCAAAAGAAGTAACTCTGTCCCTGTATTCATATTCATCAAAATAAGGCTCAACATAAGTGATCTGAATACAAGCTTTGTCAGAATCCAGTTTGGTGGCATCAACTGTGTTACTGTCCTTTATCATCAAAATGTTTTCTGCACCAAAACGGTCACTGTAAAAGGCCTGTAAAAATATAAAGTTAATAAGTAAATTATTCATCACTACAACAACCTATTATCACATACTTTGCCAGATTACTTTTTCAGTACTTTGAGGTATCAAAGACAGGCTCCATTATCATTCTCCTATTGACAAAAAGAAAAATCTTCCAGTACCTCTAATCTGTGAGATATCTCAGGTAACTTAGTAAGCATAGGTTCCTTGTAGATGAACTCTTCTCCATCAAGATCACCAAACTTGGATCCATAAAACCCAACTCTGAAGTATGTTCCAAATATTCTTCTTCCCTCTAGTGCATCAATCTTTGAGAAAGCATCATGCAGTTTTGAGTATATATTGATCAGCTTCTTCCAATCTCTGTTCTTCTCAGCAATGGGAGTTAAAATCTTGTAGACCTCGTTCAGACATTCAAACATACCAGCCTGAAATAACACAAATATTATATATTACTGGTATTTAACAGGACTTTATCTAAGGAAGATCCAGGTAGGAGGCAACAATGTGTCACAGAAAAACTGGTTTTGCCTTCTATCTCTATTATCTCTACATTTTTTTGTGAAATGTTCATACTTATAGAGATGTAATTATGGATAACTTAACACAGAGAATTACAGCTATTGTAGAACTTCAAGAAAATAAAATAAAACAAAATGACTATGCTATGGTAATGTCATATATTGCTAGTCATAACTACCATTTCCATCTTTGTACCATGGATTCATAACTTCCCAATCCACTGATATAACCAGGTACCTAGTATGTATCAGAATACTTCACTGGTAAAGAATAGTATTCTCACTAAATGTTCCTACTAAACTCTCTCACAACAGCTGACATCCTATCACATCATGGTTAGACTCACTCACACAGTGATGGGAATCCATTCACAGTTGTGCATGCTAAACATCTGTCTGCTTGTTTGATTCCGACTGTGGTCATTGAGGAGAAATATATCCTCAAAAAGACTTTTTTAAGCTTCATCTCCTCTCCTATTTAATTGCTTATGCCATAGCCATGAACATAAAGAGTGGGATGAATATTTGTCTCATTGAACTTTTCAATAAAAGGATGCTTTTCATTTTTCTGTCAAGCAGGTGACTCCACACACCCACCCAGTGCTTGGTGTAGTATGGTGCTGGGAGATGCCATTGTGAGTGGATTAAAATCATACCTGACCAGAGAGAAAGGAGACAAAGATTCCAATCCTTTAAAGAAGGTTCTTTATATTTGTCTGTAATTGTTTAATTCTATACTCTGTTTTGAGAAAATACCCAGTTTCCTTTGGAAAGTTATTATTGCTGTTTACCTTTTTCACAGAAGCTGCCAATGTATCGACTTGTGTGTTTCATAAGATAGCATGCTATCAGCCAGGGACAGTGGGATACTGTCATTGAGGGGTTAAGGGGCAAAGTTGTGAAAGATGGATGGCAAAGTGTTTACCATATTACCTGTATAATATGAATTTCAATTGCATGAATTAACATTTTCCTTACCTGCTGCAAAGAAGAGCTTGCCTGCTCCAAAAGACCAACTAATCCATTTTCTGTGAAGTATTTTCCTGTACATATACCCTCTTCATCTGGACTCAAAACATCATCAGACACTGTAAGGAAATTAAATTAAAGTACATCACTCTTGTTGTAAATCTTTCTTTTTGCAGACTGGTTCAATTAAGGACATTTTCAAAATTACACCACTAACCGCAAAAAATAAGCAAAAAATAAACTGCTGTTTCAGTTAGTTTCAGTCTTTTAACTAGTCATGGCACATTTACATCACATCCACAGTGAATCATGGACTTGATAAAAACAATAAAAGAACTGTGGTAAATCTAACATTCTTTAACTTGATAAGGACAAGTTCAATGGGTTTAATGTTGATCTTTAATGGTTACCAAAGAGTTTAAAGTCAAGTAATTACTTATGCTGTTTCACATTTCTAGAAAAATATGTTGAAGCAAATTTTATAAAATATTCTCATATAAAGATAAATCATGCAAATATTGCCAAGAATTTAGTTAGCATTAAAATGATACCAACAAGATTTACATTGTATATATAGTAAAGGTGTCATTAGCCCATTGGATCTGGATGCTTCTCTGCCATCATGTGGCCCAAAATACAGGCACTAGGCTTATGTGAGTGGACACTCTGCCGGGTGTGCGGCTTGTAGACCAGGCGCAAATGAACACGTGTGCAGTGACAAGACTCTATGCCTCCTCTTTACAATGTTATATTGTCTTGAATGGCATAAATGTTTTCAGCTTCATTGCCATTTTCCAATGTCTATATCTGTCATTTCATTTGCTTTATCTAGATGGTAAAAGACTTCTTTCTTTACACAGACTCTATATATCTTCTCACTAGATTGTCTCTAACTCAGTGTAAGAATAATATGTAATATTTTGTTAATTCTGTCCTTTCTTTTTTTTTTATAATCAATTTTCTGTAAAATAACATTGTGCCACCAGTCACAGCAGCAGGAATAGGATCCTGAAAATGGATACAGCGTCTTTCCTGAAGCCAGTGCTCTTCCATTCACGGCTCACAGACATTACATTCCAAACTCATTTACCGATGGCAATAATGCAAAAGCCCCTTCCTACATGCCAAATGAGTCTACTCATCCTCCAATATGCACTGGTGCTAGTCTTTCCTGTCACCCCAGCCTTCAGCCAAAGTGGTCACGCCAGCAAGTTCATGCCACCCTGGCCCACAGCCAAATTTTCCCATCATCCAGATCATTGGGGTTAAAAAACCAAGTCACATATTTACATTTTGAAATAGCTGACATCCTATCACACAAATAGACTGTCACTCATGCTGGGATGATGTCTCATTACACCATGCACAGTTAAACTTGTGCATACCAAACAATTGTTTTGTTATTCAAATGTTGACTTAAAGCCTCTTTTTAGCCTATTATCTAACCAATCCTTTTTGTTGCAGCAAGAGGGGCACTACCCTTTTTCTACTAAATAAATTAAATGAAATATTGTATGATGAAAATTTCTAGTCTTGAGTCATTACCTGCACTTTCCTCTAAAACATTTGGTGAAAGTTTGCAGAAGGTAACAGCTCCAGTGGGAAGGTGAGGACAATCCTCCAACATGTATAGGTATTCCGACACAAGAGCTGCACTGTGGATCAGGCACATGGCAGCTTCAGCATGCTGAACTCTCTCACTGTGCTTCTGAGCCATGCTAGCTAACCAGGTCAAGCGTAGATCTGGGGAGTTTTGGTAGCCTCGAGCTATGTAAAAGAAAAAATCCATTTAGCAGTATTGAATAGATTGACACAAATAGTCACAATTTGAAAGTGGTGTAAACTTTGACATACATCTATAATATAGCAATTACTATCAACATCATTATTACTTTCAATGTCCATGACACTTACCTATTCTATACATCAAGTCAAGCAGCATTTCAGGATCCTCTTGATACTCTTTCATCTTGACAGTATCAGACAAGATCATATGCAAGTTGAACACTAAATCTCGCACCTGTGGAACATAAATATTTAATTTAGCATTAAAGAAATGAGCAAGCAACTGCTTTTGCATAATTACCTATGTAAAGATAAGTAATCTGTAAAATTAACTTACTTAGTTCCAATAATCTTTCATCACAAAAATAACAATAACAATATCACACAAAGTAAGTACATAGCTGTTACCTTACTTAGGCAAATATAAGACTGTAAAAAAATAAACAGAATGAATTTATCTATCCGTTGGTCTAGTCATGATACTCATTCATTAAAAATCTCCATCTCAACAAGAACCAGAATACAAATCAGTAACATATGAAAAACAAAAATTCTAACACATTAATTGGCTTCTGGAATTACAGCTTATTAAACTATTTCTTACTTACAAACTTGAGATGAACCAAACTGTTACTCATAAAAAAAATTAAACTAACAATTCAGCCCATCTGAAAGAACTCAACATATGAAATTCCCAGTCAAGTCAATTACTAGAAGTCTCATGAAGAACAAAAACAAACAAATAAATAAATAAAATAGCCTTCAAACCTGTTCAGGGAAGGAAGTATCTTGCAGGTCAGCATCCTCCTCTGCATAAGTAAGGATGGTCTTCAAGGAACGTCGGAGATACGCCTCATTGAAGGTCTGAGAGGTGCCCACAAGCGAACTCAAAGACATAGTAACCTGCATTTTTACTCGAGCAAAGTTCTGTAAAAGGATAATTTAAATTGGTGTACTTTTGACATTTCAGACTTATTGCACATGTTTTGTAAGATATACATAAAACAATTCTAGTAATCATCTTATAAATTAACCCAATGATGCCGGGTGTACAAAACAAAAAAAAAACTCTACGCTCTAGCAAACACAGGCGGCGCGCCGACTTTGAGAGCGTGAGTAGGGGACATCAGCCCGAATCACTGGCTCGCCGCGCTTATGCACACCGCCGCGGCGTTTGGCTGCACGCCAGCTTTCGAGTGGTTTGTTTGCACGCCGATTGGCGTCACCCGGCACCAAGGGGTTAATAGGAAAGTAAGATGACACTTTTTATCATTGTTTTCTTTTCTAAAAGCAGCACACTGTAAAAACATTAAGCCTGATAAGTCAACAATCAGTGGTATTTTTGACTCTTGTCTCTATCATATGCCAAATCATGGGGATTCACTTATTTATTGAAAGTTTTCTGCCTCATTATCATCTAAGGTCAACAGCAGAGTATGCAAAATCTAGCGATAGGGTGGGGCTTGGGGGTAAAGTTCCCAGGTAAGTTTTTTGTGGATTTCCAGAATGGTTAATGATTAAAACAAATAGATGTGCCAGACATCAAAGGTCCTATAGCATTATGATAAAATACTGTGGCAAAAAGGATAAAAATGAATTAACAGTTAAGTGGACAGAAGAAGGGGATGAAGAGAATGAAAAGGAAAGGAGGAGAAGAGAAATAATGTCCCAAAAAAACATGGGACATTAAAATCACAACTTTGGCTGAGAAGAGAAGAGGTTAAAAATCAATATAACCATTTTAAACACTCAAGATACCTACATTGCCTATCTCAAAATTATGCCTCATGAGTAGGTATAGAGATGCAGCAGCATGGGATCGTATTGTGCAAATGCAAGATGAGCAGTGCTTTAGAAGCTGCAGGCACAAGTCTGCACATTGCTCTGTTTCTTCATCAAAGAGTAGCCCAGGGAACTATAAATAGAAAAAAAATTCATTAATAAGAGATAAGAACAGTAGTAAATATGTTAAAATCTAAAGTATACATAATAAATTAAAACAAATCATAATACTTAAGAGTTTACTGTAAATATTCAAGTTAACAGGTTTATTTTCTCATATAATCTCACTGATTAATTATACTAATAAATGAAAATTGCAATAAATGCTGATTGCAATATTTTTTAATAAATAAAAGATTTTTTAGAATTTAGTTTGCTTTTCAGTCACTTCCCTTGTTCCTGAATCACACTGTAATAACTAGTAAGATGCTTCTACATAATGCAAAGACCTGATACTTTATGAAAAATCTAATAATTCATATTGCTGTTATCCTCATAATGCATCACTCTAAAAAGAGACAAATATAAATATACACTGCCTCCACAACCAAATTTTAAAACCTTTACAACAAACCTTGGCAACAAGAGCTCGCTGTGTGTTGAACATATTTGTCAATGATGTAGTTGACTGGTTTGAAGCAAGAGCATGAAGCAGTACTCTGAACACCACACTCAGCAGTCCCTGGAGGTGATCTGCATTTGTGACCACCTGCAAAACACAAGAGAAAGTGAATTATACTACTCACATTGTCACTGTGTAATATATAACTTGCTAAAAAGATGAAGAGATTAAGAAGTCAAGGAGAGGTGGACTGCATAAACACTGGCAATCCAGGTTGAAATTTAAGCTCAATATTTTGTCTATCTTTATTAACCTGTTAGTAACAGGTCATGTGTACAAGCATCATAACATACTGCTTGGTCTGGGGAAGGGAAGCAGAGAGGGAAGGGAAGGAGAAAGGAGAGGTGAGGGGAGGAAGGGAAGGAGAGAGGAGAGGTGAGGGGAGGAAGACGAGGAAGACGAGGAAGACGAGGAAGAGGAGGAAGAGGAAGAGGAGGAGAATGAAGAGGAAGAGGAGGGAGGAGAATGAAGAGGAAGAGGAGGGAGGAGAATGAAGAGGAAGAGGAGGGAGGAGAATGAAGAGGAAGAGGAGGGAGGAGAATGAAGAGGAAGAGGAGGGAGGAGAATGAAGAGGAAGAGGAGGAGGAGAATGAAGAGGAAGAGGAGGAGGAGAATGAAGGAAGAGGAGGAGGAGAATGAAGAGGAAGAGGAGGAGGAGGATGAAGAGGAAGAGGAGGAGGAGGATGAAGAGGAAGAGGAGGAGGAGGATGAAGAGGAAGAGGAGGAGGAGGATGAAGAGGAAGAGGAGGAGGAGGATGAAGAGGAAGAGGAGGAGGAGGAGAAGAGGAAGAGGAGGAGGAGGATGAAGAGGAAGAGGAGGAGGAAGGAGGAAGAGGAAGAGGAGGAGGAAGGGAAGGAGGAAGAGGAAGAGGAGGAGGAAGGGAAGGAGGAAGAGGAAGAGGAGGAGGAAGGGAAGGAGGAAGAGGAAGAGGAGGAGGAAGGGAAGGAGGAAGAGGAGGAGGAAGAGGAGGAGGAAGAGGAGGAGGAAGAGGAGGAGGAAGAGGAGGAGGAAGAGGAGGAGGAAGAGGAGGAGGAAGAGGAGGAGGAAGAGGAGGAGGAAGAGGAGGAGGAAGAGGAGGAGGAAGAGGAGGAGGAAGAGGAGGAGGAAGAGGAGGAGGAAGAGGAGGAGGAAGAGGAGGAGGAAGAGGAGGAGGAAGAGGAGGAGGAAGAGGAGGAGGAAGGAGGAGGAGGAAGGAGGAGGAGGAAGAGGAGGAGGAAGGAGGAGGAGGAAGAGGAGGAGGAAGAGGAGGAGGAAGAGGAGGAGGGGGGAGAAAATGAGTGATTGAGGAAGACCAACTAATTCTTCCTACATTTTACCTGTACAATGTTCTCCAAAGTGTCGAGTATTATCATATTAGCTTCACTCGCCAGATGGCCCTCAACCTGTGATTCCTGTTCTAACTCCTGATGAGTGGACCGTTCCGTATCCTGCTGTTGGTGGCGCCAGGGGAAGGTCTCCTTGCGCCAACGGAGTCGCTCACCGGTTCCAGAAGGCGACGGTGGGTTGCGTTCTGTCGATTTGATTAAAACCACTGAGCACAGAAATCAACTTCCTTACGTGAATTTAATGCACTGCTTACTTTGACTAAAACTACATATATAATTTCATGAATTTAACTATACATAACGTACATAGCATGAACAATATACAGTAAGGAATGGATCTTACAAAGAGTGAGATATTGAAAGAGAATTAGTAAATGCACTGTAACCTCTCAAAATTTTAGAGTTTAATTATAACATGGAGGCATCTTTACTGTTATATAATTATAGGTATCTAATAAAATTATACACATTTTTTCCTGTTAGACATTTTAACTCATTGCTGCTGGGTAATCACACAGTCTACTTTAGTTTTCTTTTGTGAATTTTGTTTGCAGATAAATGGCTCTACAAGTGCTCATCCATCAAGGAGCCAATTAGTAGGTTCATGTGCCCTGACTTCTCCTTTCCTTGAGTTTTTGGAGAAAAAAAATATATACATACATATTTAAAATACTAATGATATCAATGCTATTTTCATTATTGATGTTATGTTATCAACAATACTAATAGCAATAAAAAAAAAATAGATTCTTTTTGAAAATCAAGAAAAAGAATAATCAGATGAGATAGATAGATCAAGTAAACAACTCCTTGTGATTGAGCACTTGAGGAGGCATTGACGTACAAAGACAATAAACAAAAAACAACACAGTGGACATGGCATGTATTTTTGCCATCCTGACATTAGAGGGTTAAGCTACAATGATGGTCATTATCATCACCACTACCACCACCATACCAGTGATAATAACAATAATAAATAATGACAATGATTAATAACAAAATATAAAGATAAATGATGTTAAGATTTTTTTTGTCATAAATCATTAATTACTACATATATATATCAAGTTGATTTATTTCACTATATAAATCAATAAAAACAAAAATACATGCTGCAAATCTATTTACACTTGTATGGTTAATATAACAAATGTTAAAAAAAAAAATTGAACTCAACTTCAGTAAGGACATAAAAGTAGCCTTAACATAATACCCTACTGGTTATTTCCTAATATCAGTTCCATGAAGTCTGGAGGGTTTCATTCATACCTAAAGCAATATGATTTGTTCATGAATTTTAAAATTCTAAATTAAAATTTAAAAAAGGAATGTTAATGAACTTAAATGTGTTGTACATTAGCCTGAAAACAGTATTTACTTGACTCTGAAGTCTTTTTTTCTTATGACTTTATTTTTATGATTTATTCTGTACTCATCGTTAAGATACTGCTCTTCATTTGATCACATTCTAATCTAAAAAAAAAATTATGCAATAATAACTACAAATAAAATAAAAATATCATTATAAACCAGTGATGTTTACAGAAGTTACAATCAACATTTCTTATATCTTTTCCTTTTGAGAGGAAACATTAAGCTTTTACCATGATAATATAGGTAGCAAATACAGAGTAAATTACAGAATAGTTCATCCTACATCTTGAACAATTTCAGTCTTCTTCAGAGTAGCGTTCGTAAAATAAGTCAAAACTAGACTACTTTTCAACCAATCAATTATTGCTATCTTATATGATGGACCATAAATTCTGCACCCATTTTAACTAGAAAATATCAATATCAAGTGCTCCCATCAATGCTGACCTAATTAATATGACTTGCACTGAATTGAAAATAATGATAAACTTTATGCAAAAATTAACATCTCTTAAACAGCACACATGCAAAAAGCTCTTGTGGGAATATGCTGATATTTCATCTTTTATTTAATCTCATTCACAGTGCCTTTATGTTCTAAAAATATAGACCATGCAAAAGGAATTATTACTTATTGTCATGAACATAAGCATAGTTTTTTTAAGCAAATATTTCTTAAGGAATAGTCTATATTTTCTTTACAACAGTTTTTAGTTAGAGGTTCAGACTGATAAGGGTAAGTCCTTTTTCTGTAAACTCTAATTACAAGATATAAATAAATATAACCTAAAAGAAAAGCAAAACTAAGTGATGCATGGCAATTTTGTTAGAGCAATTCTTTTTGCACATCTATTTTAGCAATTTTCATATATACAATTAAAAGATCCAACTAGTTTTTATGCTTATTAAATTACCCATCACAATCTGCTTTGCAATTTATCCCAAAAGTTTTACAGAAAACCTACTTGCATTGCAGATACTGTTCAGTTGTTACAGTGGAATCTACAAGGAATGACTCCTGATGAAACTACCTGACTACATTTTAACACTCAAAATTAGCTAGGATACCTGCATGCCATAACTTCTCTGTCACCAAAATAAATGCTACTATAATCAAGGTGAACATGCCTTGAAATGAACTTTTAAAAGCCATTTTCATCACATTATTCATACAGACAGACTACCAAACAGTATCCTTGCGAGTTTTTCCATTCACACATTAATGTTACAATATACTCTGATAATTCTCATACAGAACCAGGTACTATAATCAGATTTCCTCATTTGGCTATAAATGAAAATTACCATGCTAGTCTATCTGCCATATCACCCAACAAAAAAAGAAAAAGGGCAAAATTCAACAGCACCGGCAGGTTACTATCAGTGACTACCTGGATGCATTGGAGACTAGTATTCAGTCCATTTTCCATATACTCAAAATATCTTATATGAAGCTTCTGTACTTCCCAAACATATTTCTGTATCACTTTAGTAAATATATACTTAAAATGGAATTTCTCAATTTCATTGCCAATATCAGATCACAGAACTTGGGTATGAATCTTAAAAAACAAAAAGGGAAATCTACGAAGAATGTGTTACTGGGAAAGATGATCTCTTAAAAAACCTTTATGTTCTCTTATAGCCTGTTTCAACCATATGTTTGTGTTAACTTCTCTCTTGCAATGTTCATTAATAAAAACTTATACAAAAAAAAAAAACTTGCTCCATCTACCATTCTATATTCATTAATAAAAAAAAAAAAACCATTAAACTCCACTTTCTTCTGTATACTTGAACAATATTATCATTCTTCTATAGATAAGTTTTAGACTTCAGTCCTTTCATTGTTGGGATATCTTTTTTAGATCTTTTCTATGTGATTTTCTATTATTATATACCTCTCCCTCATCTTTTTTATCCACTTTGTTTTGATTGTGTATTAATAATGTACAATGAAAATAAATATCTGAAAATCTTTTGTACCTCCATCTAAACTGTTTTACAAAATAAAAGTTAAATACAATTTAGATACAGAAACACGATAAAAATAAGAACATAAAATCAACAAAATAACACCCTATAAAGTAGAGTGGAAGCTGCTATTTGTATGAACAGCAAGATAAGAAAAAGTAAACAAAATTTACATTGTTGGTAAATAAACATTTTAAAAACCTTTCTGAAACTAAGCACTGACACTGAAATGGAAAGCTCATCATAAAATAACCACCAACATCTACAGTTTCTTCAATCATTATCAAGTTCATTATATACAAGCTCAACTATGTCACAAGTTCTATCTTCTGAGCAAGTTTAAAGAGGGCCACATGAGCTGCAACTTAACACACCGAAGGCATTTGCAATAACATAGCTTTGTGTGAACTTTAGTCATGGAAACCAAGGCATTATTTGAAACATCAGAAAAAAGACAAAAATAAAAAGAGATAAAGGAAATATCTTAATATGTAACAAGTGTAACTATCTCACTAAAAAAATGATGTGTAACTAAGAAAAGAACAAGAAGCTCTGGAAAAAAAAATTGTTCATTTATGCAAAACAGAAAGAGTGTGAGGAAAGGCCATCAAAAAATGCATTCCGTCGGTTCTTTGAAATTGAATGTAAATATGAAACAATAAAAAATTCATGTATTCCAAATCAGGAACTGTGCCTTAACTTAAAACTTATCTACACTACAAGAAATCTTCCTCCAGACCCCAAGCCAGAGAGTAGGGGTTGTGAGAATGTTAGCAGTGCGAGCCATGGAGTTATGTACAACCCCTGGTAAAGTGCACAGGCAGCAGACACAGCCACAACATTGCTGGGTTGAAGGGTTGAGCAGTTGATTGAACGAGTGAGTATATCACTGATCTGCTGCATGCGACACAAACCTGCTCCCTGGATGTAGAACTGTGATAATCCAACAACATGAGGGGTGTTGGAAGGAGTGTTACCTCGACGTCGGAGCATCATTTCCGAACGTGCAGAATTCTGACCCATGATGGCTTCTTCCAAACGACTCTTCATGTCTGCTTTGCATCGTAGACTTGGCCCTCCACCTCGAAGGGAGATCTTCTTTCCCTGCAGAATATTTGCTGGTTAAGATAATGTAGGTTTTACATATCAAATCTTGGGCATGACGTAAAATCTAGTTACCATTTGCTTTTAAAAAAGAACAGTTAAACATAAAATTATAAATATTTGATGTTCAGACTAAGGTGGTGTAATGAGATGTTCATTCACAGCTTCATGACAAATATAAATACTAAATATTTATTCCAAACAGATATTCTATTGTATACTTTTTTATCTCACTGGTTAATAAATATCTCATTTCACTCCTTTGAATGAAACATCATCCTAAATAACTTATTCTGTACTATCACTTCACTACCATCTTCTTCAAAAATTATCTAAATGTACATCTAGTACCAACAACTCTTTTAATATATTAACCAGTATGCAGATGTCCTCATTAACTAAAGTAAAAAAAAGTCATCAAAAGTTCATTTTTTCCCCCATTGTGCAAAAATAAAAGAAAATATTCACAATGACCAAAACCAGTTTCAAACAACCAAAAAGCACAATAAACAACCAGAAAATATAAACCACAAAACATGTATATACTATATCTATCCCGTTTTCCTCCAAAGATATATAACTTTCTTCCATCAAAATGTTTAAAATTAAAATGTTTGCAGAGTTTTTCAAAAACCCAATTTGTGCCCCTTTAGGTAAAACAATTGCCTAAGCAGCTGTTTTGTTAAATAAAAAAAATCCATTGGCTGGTTTCTTTAACCCCCGTCTTTACTGGCTCGAGCTTTTCTGAAAGTATATCTTCACATACTTCCACTTATCACCATCTGGACAGAAGGGTTACTAAAAAAGTTTTCTTATGATAATTTCTCAGAAGAGGAGGCACCCAAGTTTTCACTGATGCTATGCAATGCAAATTATTCCAACCTATGACAACACATAATCTTATATGCTAGTTCATGCATGAAGCCATAATAGTCAACTAAAGAAAAATACACTCAATCTAAAAGGGAATCCCTTACTCATTTCATAAAAAAACAGATCTTTACAACTGGTCACCACATTCCTTTTAATCACTGCTAGTTTATATTAGCACCTTCTTTACAAGTGATAATAATATGCAAGGATTCAATGACATCAAAAACTCAACTAGTCTCAGTGGTCAAAGGGAATACTGGAGGTTTAATCAGTACATAAATAAATAAATGCAAGTGTATAAGTTTATAAAAACAGTGAAAAAAGACTAGAAGCAACAATGATGATTTTGCTAAAATATTCAGTCTGACTTCTCTAATACTGAAAGATAAATCTCAGAAAACCAAAACAAGTACAACTGGAAGGGTCTTTCATAGAGAGAGTAACTTTAGTCAATTCAGCATAAAATTTCATTTATATGATTGGATTCAGATAATTTAAACAAATGAATGCAACCCCTGACCACTAAAACAATGTACATTTGTTGGGCCACAATAACAACTGACAATTAACATTCAAAATAAGAAATCTTGGATGAGAAGCACTGGTAAAATCACACAATAAATCTAAGCCTTATCTGCATCTTCTAATAAGTGTAAGGTGTGTTGGACAAATTTTAAGCAAGTGAATTTCAGTTGATATATGGAGATTTAGTTAGAACCATGGCTTTACCTAATATATGCCAAGGTAGTACAGACATGGGGACAAGAAGAATTGTGTAGGTAAGAATAAGAATATCAGAATACAACTGTGCTTGTGTGTGTACATGAAGATTTAAACATAGGTGTTAGTGGGATCATGAATCATAAATAAGGTATATGAATTAACATACTTCTCACCAGGATTTCTCCAGAGACAATGCAAACAGAAAATTTATAGGGCCTGTAGATGTAAACTCAAGTCTGAGCTAATCAGTGAAGACTGAAGAAGTAAGGAATATGACAGTGTGCAGAAAACAACTGTACATTACGAGTTCACATTTCAAGCATAGAACAATTCGCATATATACATGGGATTGCTGATGAAGATCGCAGATCTTTGTAGGACTATGTGCCAGCTGAACAAAGTCTGAAGAATTCTGGAATGGACACAAGAGCAGAAAAGAGAAATAAATGATGCTTCCTTGATAATTTTTAACTTTCTGAAAATGGCAGTCTACAAAACTGTAAACACTTTTTCCCAAACATTAAATAACTGCCTTCCTGAATGGATCTCTGTGTCATCAAGAAAAAAATCAATTTATTATATCTGGCACATTTTATTTCTAAATCGTCATCTACCAGCAGTAACAGAATATATAGGCAACAGCTGTAATAATCTGCCCTTATTAGCTAGTAACTATAAACAATAAATGAGTCTGTATATTCATTAACATTATATAGTCTTTGTTTTCATTTTTCTTAACTTTTTGTTTCATTACTGAAGCTTTATCATTATATTATCAAATGTTATTTGTAAATTGTTAGAGTATATTATAAAGTTTCTACAATTTTCACATGCTGCATATGCACCTACACTCTCTGGAAACCAAATTTTGTAAACTATATGACAAGCATGTAAAATGAAGGTTTCACTCCCAACATTCAAGGCATATTCTTCATTCTACACATTCCTGGTTAAATGCAGCCATGGACATGATTCATGAATCCATGTAAAAATGACTAATGCGTGTTAAATAGAAAGAAGAAACCAAATACGAAGCATCACACATATTTACAAAAACTTGTTATCATACAGATTTGCACCTCTGATATGGGATTCAGATTCTTTAAAAATCTGAATCAGTCAACTTTTGAATATTGTACTTAGTTGCATTATTCTAACACTAAGAGGAGAAAAGAATCTCTTGTTGCAAGCAATATAGCTTCCCTCACTTCTTCCTCCATCACCATTCAATCAACTAGGTTCTTGTCAATGTAAATACAGCAAAGTGACATTTATTTGCAGAGCCTTGAGCAAATACAGTTTACTATACAGAAAGACTATATCATATATCTATATATGTCAAAACATATGTTTTTCTATATCCTGCTGCTTGATTCTATACTAGATAGGTATGGTCCATACCTTGAGTCTTACAGCATAACTCAATTCAAGAAGCACTAATCATGCATATGCAGAAATACAACTGGCATAAAGCAAAGTCTAACTATTTTAAGCTGGATTTGCTTATTATGTGCAATACTTTTTGAACTTTATTTGCCATGAGTGGATAATTCCAAACTAACAACAAAAGCAAAAATTAATGTGGGCCTCTCCCAACTACAAAAGACTATTTATTTATTTCTGGGTGTAGACGATGCATTTTTTTAAATAAAAAGATCTTTATAGATCTAAAAGCTAAAACCTGAAGGTCAGAAACTTTAGGCTACCTTGGTCAGATTACACCTATTATGGCAAGGACTAAGAATTAGTGTGATCAACCTTTGGACTTTCTTGGCCTTATTTTCTTTCTCTCACAGTTCAAGGAAACAAGAGTAAAATGATGAAAAAAATTCTCTTCACCTAAATTTAACATTATATCAATGATAACCATAGCATAAACAGATCTGAGATTGTAAATCCTTTATACTCTATTAACCCCTTCCCGACAGGTCACACCTATAGGCGTGAAAACAAACTGCTCAAAATGTGGCGTGCGGCTGTACACCGCGATGGCACACCAAAGTGTGGCAAGCCGGTGATTCAGCTTGATGTACTGAACTCCCAAGCTCAAAGTTGGCACGTTGCCATTGATCGCCAGAGCGTAAAGTTTTTTTTTTTTAGTTTTCTTAACCCGTCATCAAGGGGTTAATAATATTAGAAAAAAATGCAGAAAATTAATTTGGGAAGGCCTACTGACACTCATGGAGGCATCAGAGTGTGAAAACAAAATTCACAAAATAAAACTCCAATGGACAATGCAATTACCCAGCAACAATGCACCATCCCTCACATGAGGTCTATTAAGTTTATAGAATAGCACTTGGGAGCCATTTAATCCACTGGATCCAGGTACTTCACAGCAATCACATGGCCCAAAATACAGGCATTAGGTGTATGTAAGTGGCTTCTCTGACAGGTGTGCAACTTGTAAGGCGAGTGCACGTGAACAAACGTGTGCAATGACAAAATTATGCCTCCCTTTTGCAATGTTATTTTCTCTTTTTTTACATAAAGTTTTCAACTTTTTCACCATTTTCCAATGTCCATGTTTGTCATTTGATTTGCTTTATCCAATGGTAAGAGACTGTTTTCCTTGCAAAGACTCCACATTATTTCTTTACGTAGTCAGTAAATTCAGTGCAAGAATAATAATAAAAAGTAACATTTGGTTTTTTGTCTTTTTTTTTTTTTCTTAACATTCAATTTCCTGTAACGTAAGCAGCACTGCCAGTCACAACAGCCAGGAATAGGATGCTGAGAGTGGAAATGGCCAGTGCTCTTCCAGTCGTGGCTCACAGACACTACACATTCCACATTCTTTATAGATGGGAATAATACAAAAGTCCCTTTCTAAATGCCAAATGAGTCTAATTCCCCTCCAAGAGCTTTGAGCACTTGTCATGAGTCTTTCCTGTCACCATAGCATTCAGTTGAAATGCTCACGACAGCAAGTTTGCTTCACCCTCGCCCATAGCCAGATTTTTCCATGACAGCATGTTCATGCTATCTGCCCCTCAAGCCAAATATTTTCATGATGTGATGGTCACATCATCCTGAATGTAGAGATTATATAGGGTGTACATAGGATGCACAATCTGCCTCAGATTGTGCATCATTGAGAATACCCCATAATCCCATCCACTAACCCCCAGTATCCCCATTACATATTCCCCATAGAAGCCAGTACAAAAAAAAAAACATTTTCTATGTAAATTACCTGGATTCATGGGAAAACTATAGTGATTTTGAAAAGTTACATCAGTTATTTTTTGACATTTTGACCAAACTTTTACCAAAAGGTGTAGAAAACTACATTCTGCAAATTGCAAACCCTTTTTTAGATATTTACGTTTTAGTTTTTAACTCTTCATGCACAGTTTGAGGGTTCATAACCCAGATGGCAAAAATACTTTAGGTCATTGATT